ACAGTGCGTGCTTAGACGATTTCATTTTAAATGATTCATATGGAATATGTATCATGCTAAACTAGTACAGAATTAAACAGATGTATAGCTAAAAATTTTTTTATTATTGATTCTATCTTATTCGAGAAATAGCAGAATCAAGTTCACAAAAAATAACAATGCGCGCGATGCGATACATGAAAATGGGAGCCTTAGGGCAATTTTCTAAGTAGTAGTATTCAAAATGATCACAGGAACACTTCACATTCTTATCTTTATTTACTATAAAAAAAGAAAAGGTTAGGGTGCCCCAGTTCTACATGAATAAAATGTTCCCCAATTATTTTCCTTAAAGTGGACCTATCATGCTACATTTGAATAATCTATTGTAGGGACAAACCTATATAAAACATGTCTGTGAAGTTTTTTTTTCAAAATACCAAACAGATCATGCATTTTAGCCATGCCTCATTTCGCTCTATTTGCTCTATTCCAGCCCTGTCTTCACAAAGGCTGATTCTGTGGCAAATGAGCTGCAGCTGACCACGCCCCCCTGCAAAGGAGGGGGGCGATGCATGAGCGTCATGTTACCATGCTGTTACCATGCTGTTACCATGCCACGCAACCTCTCATTCCCCTGATAGGTGGAGAGTTGCCCATATAGGCGGAGCACCCCGTTTCTGGTCAGAAAAATTTCAATTCTGTATCAGATCCGTTGCAGCCCCGTTTTTAGAGATATGTATGGAGGAAAAGAGAGAGGGTTGTGTTTTCTGACACTTGGTGAGTTCCCTGGAACACCGGGGACACATATTCATGTATGACGTACAAAAGTGCATTTTGCATGATGGGTCCCCTTTAAGTAATGTTGGATAATACCTCCAATATCTCATACCAGAATACCCTATTAACCAACCAGTTGTAATCCTCATCATCAAAGTCTTGTGTTGGGTTTGACTGTGTCTCTCTCAGCCCTTTAATAAATAAAGCCTGTGCACGAGTGATAGATGTGTGTAGAGGAGAGAAGTGATTACTCCCCTCAGACCTGCCCTGAGCCTCACTCCTACACCACTGGTTCTATAAATCTCGGCCCCACTTCCTCCGTCACTGTTGTCCCTGGGCTCGACCTCAGTCCATGTTTAGACCCTGATGAGCCGAGATACGGCGTCAGTGAGGGGAGAGTTTTTCACAAGTGCTTGCTAAGTGCCCATGAATGTCTTGGTGAGGGAAGCCTGCACAGTTGACACACTGCCAGATTCTTGGCTAGTGAGTTTACTTTGGAGAGTTATCAGTCATCAAAATGGAGTCGCAGGAACTTTTAATTTGTTCAGTAACAGCTCCAGATCAGATACTCAACTTCCATGTATTGTGGCCAACTCTTAACAATCTCACCAGCAATCAATAGCTGAGGAAATAGCTGCTTTTATTCTCAATGTAAGAAACGATTGTCTATAATTTACATAGTATCAGTTTAAATTATACAGACGGACTGTCCCGGCCCTTTCCCGTAACAACGCATTGGTTTTATTTGGCCTGTGTTTGATAATCAGTCAGCCGTGTGTACTTTTGGAGTGATGCACGTGTTTGTCTTTGATATTGAAGCTCGCCAATCTTCTTCTAATCTAACATTCGTTTGTTTTGTGTTGTGTTGCAGAGCGCTCTCCCCACAGGCCCATCCTGCAGGCCGGCCTGCCCGCTGACCGCACCGCCGTGGTGGGCAGCGACGTGGAGTTTGAGTGCAAAGTGTTCAGCGACCCTCAGCCTCACATCCAGTGGCTGAAGCACATCGAGGTGAACGGGAGCAGAGTCGGTTCTGATGGATTACCATATGTCCGTGTGCTCAAGGTAGGAGCTTCCTCTTATCACTCCTCCTGCCAGTATAAATTACTCTTTGAATGCTTCTTTATATATTGCCCTGTATTGCTATGCCACTTATTTTCTTAGATCGCAAGTACTTCCTGTGAAAGGGGATTCTTATAAAAATCTTAAAAGGCATTCAAATCATCAATCGGAAATAAATATGGATCAATCTTCCAAAGCTCTTAACAATGCTAAGATGAGTAATGAATAGCACATTTTTTTCTGTCATTAGTTTTAAAACAACTAAATGATTGGTAACATATCTTTTTTTTAACTATTGACTGCATGCTTCTCGCATTAGCGTCACACATATCAGGATAGAGTAACCAGCAGTACACTTATTGGTTGGTTTTCTGTGATCCTCAGAGCAGATGAAACATGAGTGAGTGATAATTATATGAAAACATTTTTATGTTACAGATATATTTTGAGCAAAGTTGTTATTTAATTTTGGTTATCGTTCAGTTGGTATTGCATCTAAAAAGTGGCACAAAAGTCTTAAATCTAACTTTTCTTAAGCGTTAGCAAATGAATATATGAAGTGTATCTTGCTATTGAATCTCTGCACATAACCAACATGACTTCTCCTGAATTCTTTACTGTCATTTGATTTTCTGTGATGCACATGACATGTTTTTATTTCCAGCATTCTGGGGTCAATAGCTCGGACGCTCAGGTGCTGGCCCTCTACAATGTGACTGAGGAGGAGAGCGGAGAGTATATTTGTAAAGTGTCCAATTATATAGGGGAGGCCAATCAGTCGGCCTGGCTGACTGTCACCAGATATGAGCCCACAGGTAACCACCGCGCAGCACAGGGACGACACAGTGGACCACCTGGATAAACTAGGGCCGTATAACTCAAGACAACCTCAGCTGTTTCTCTCCTCCCTCCCTCCGCCTCTCCTCCCTCTCTCCTGGCTCAGTGCTCCTGACTGTAAATGATGCTATGGAAAATTCCCAGCAGAACAGTTGAAAGTGTTTAGTTTTGGGTTTATGTTGGACCCGTTACCATTCCTGCCCCATGCCTGTGCCGTGCCCTCCTAATAAGGGCCTCTCTTGCCATCTTCTTCTATTACTCTCGCTCCCTTGCCCTTCAAAGTCCTCCGTGCACAGCACACAGGCTCTCTCTCTCTCTCCCTTTTTTTCTTCTTTTTCCAGCTGTCCTCCTTCTGCTCACCTATGTTCCCCAGACCTCCTGTTTTTATCTGATGCTTACATAGTTTGTATGATTGTGAGTGTGCCCTGTTCTGCTGCGGAGTTTTCCATGTTGCCCATCTCTTGCATGTAGAGATGAGACTGAGGTATTTGATGTGGTGATGGGGTGGCCCAGTTCAGGAGTCAACCTAACCCTCTTCTCCACTAACAGAAAGGAGAGTCCTCTGCAGGGGCTCTCTGGTACTTTGTGGGCAGATGGTGTTGGATCGAGGAGGAGAACGCTCCTCCATCCCCTTTCTCTTTCAGAATCCTTTACTCATGGTTACCTTTCCCCTCTTGGGCCTCTTGTTGGGTCTGCTTCCTTTGTTATTTTCTAGACCGCTGGCCTTAACACCACGGACAAGGAAATGGAAATCCTCCAACTGAGAAATGTGTCTTTTGATGACGCTGGGGAGTACACCTGCTTGGCGGGCAATTCTATCGGGTTCTCTCATCACTCTGCATGGTTGACCGTTTTTGAAGGTATCAGTGGTTCTGTCTCTCCTATATTTCCATTATTTACCATTTTCCAACTCCAGCCTGGCTCTCCACCTTTACATTGGCCAGAAAAGAGCCTGACTCTATTTCTGTAGAAAAATGTAAGAGGAAGCCAGGGCGAGTTAAAAATACTAAAAACCTTCTCTGTCCTCAGCATGGCTCCCGCTCCATCTAAACTCTCTAGATGGGAGAGTATGGGCCATGCTTTACTGTTTCTTTAATGAAATCAGCAAATGCCAAACAACCCCAAAAGCTGACTTCTACCTGGTCTACCAGGAAAAACAGCCAGTGGTATTTTAAAGTATAATTAATGGCCTCAGCCAGGTAGAACATCACTTTTATAGAGAGGCTGTTTGGCAGCTCTGATCGGATTTCACTTTGAACTGTCTCTACCGTTCTGCCTTTAACTGGTGTTTGTGCTCTTTTTGGTGTAAAGCTGATTTTCTTTGACAAGTGCTACAAATGACATGTATTCCTTATGTCATTTCCTGCTGTGAGCACAGCGGCTGGCTTTGATAATTGGCCCGCAGTAGTGGATGTGTGTCTCATTCCTGAGGGTTGGAATGGACATTTGTCCAATTATCAAGCTGCTTGTCAGTCAGCCTCTTCACACAAGTGCAGCTCACTTGTGTTGCTGGTGTTGGTTGGGGGTGTAACGGTGCACTTCAGTCGGTACGGCAACCTTGGTTTGGGATGCATTTTTCAACATGCACACATTAGTTGTAGTTGATCATCCCGCACTAAAAGGAGGCAACACAGTGCCACAGTGTCATACTTTTAAGTGGTAATACTTCCTACAATTGGAGTTAAGAGTCAAAACGTTTCATTTATTTAATTTAATCGTTTATTTGAACCGGGACAGTGCACATTAATGAACATTTTAAACAAAATAATGCTTTCAAATGTAAATGAGCCGGATTTTAGCTTTGAGCTAATTTCCATCCGTAGTCCTGTCACATACAACATTTATGAACATAACATTTATATACATGGCAAACAGGAATACATGATATGCAGATTGAGCATGAGCAGCATACAAGCGTTAACCACAAGGCAGTACAATGTAGCAGCTACGACATATTAAGTGCAGGAGGAGATAAAAGAGCTACATCAAGTGCAAGAGGAGTTACCCCTTTATTAAAGCGCATTTAGCGGTGATTGCACGTCTGTTTGTTTCTTTCATGAACATTTTTCATACACAACCCTGCGTTTTTGTCAAGTTCTAAACAATTTAAACTAAACCGTTAAAGCTATTGAATAAATAAAACAAGTTAATAAGGCATATTGCATTTATTTATTTATAAATGTAATATAAATGTTTCTAAATAAATGTTAAGCAATATGCCAGATTGGAATGAGCAGTTGTATGGACTTAAAATACATTTTCTGACACAAATAAAGAAGAGTCGTCATTATTAATCTCAACAGGATTTAACACTGTAGGTAGAACAAGAGACACACTCAAAACGTTTTGATATCTAGCTTTTGACCCGAATGCAACATCCCAAGCCAAGGTACCAACAAACCATTTTTTTTACTGAAATCCCTTACACCCCTAAAATTGGTATGGTAAACGTTGGTGTTTTCACTGAATGGGAGGAAAAAAACAAGATCTGATTTGGACAGTTTCTTTATAAGTAGAAGCATTTATTCGTTGCATTTTTAAATACTTAAATGTTGTTTTCTTTAAAAAAAAACAGTCTTATTACCAGCACCAACACACCACTTATTATAATAGCATTACAAGTCGAGTCAGAATTGTACATTTAAATGTAGCTAGTTTAGTTGGATAAACAGTTAACTACTGTATTAAGCTTGTGCTTTTTTTATATGCTGCTTTTAGACTACAGTTAGAAATGACATGAGATTAGGCCAATTCTTATGTAGAAATTATGTTTTTTAACTTTGTGTTTGAAGTGTTGATATGCTGTTTTTAAAAGTCAGATCCTTTGCACACGGTTACACTTTTATTTTTGAAAGAAATGTCGGTCTGAATGAAATAATTTGTTTACTAGTGTAACAAAGACTGTTGGCCATCTTTGTTTGTCCCAACTGTTTCTCCTTTATCTCAATGACCTCTTCATATATTGTCTTCAAAGAGTAGTTTGAAGCCTCATGCTTTAAAGAAGTGATCTTTTTCAAATGACAATTCTTTGTCTAAGGTGTCCGTGTCAAAGGCTCTGGTTTTTAGACAGTGTGTTTGCGGTGTGGTTTTGTATGTGTGTGTGTGTGTGTGTGTGTGTTTGTTTGGGTGTGCAGTTTGATTTATTTGCAGTGTGCTTGAAAGCATGGGTATGTTTGGTGTGATTGGGTTTATAAAGTTAGACATTCTGTCTAGGGTTGGGCAATATGTAGAAAATCAAATACTACCATATTTCTGATAACCTACCTCAATTGATATTGTAGGGTTGACTTTTATTGCTATCATAACAATATCTACACAATTTAAATTGTTCATATATAATCATTATTAATGTGGATGTAGTGGCCAATAATAAATCAGAAAACTCCACTAATTTCCTCTAATGCAGCTATTAAAGCATGGAAAAGACACTTAAACGTTATCTAATCTCATATAATATTATCGATATAATGTGAATATATTGCCCAGCCCTACTTCTTTTGTAGTGTGATTTCATGGATGACCGCTGACCCCCTCCCTGCTCCCTGCGCTCCCCCTTCTAGCTGTCCCACACTATCCTCAAGCAAACCATACCTACCTGGAGGTGGTCATCTACTGTGTGGGCTTCTTCTTCATCGCTGTCATGATTGCCATCGCGATCATTGTCAAGATCCGCACCTCCTCAAAGAAGAGCGACTTCAACAGTCAGCTGGCCGTCCACAAGCTGGCCAAAAGCATCCCGCTGCGCAGACAGGTAACAGAAAGTAGATAGGGGGTTTGGAACATTTACACCTTTTCTTCTTCTCTTTCTCTCACTACATGCCAGTTGCTCAGTTTATTTGGAGATTAAAAGCTTTAAAGGTCACCTATTATGCAAAATCCACTTTTTCATGAATGTTATACATAAACACGTGTCCCCTCTGCGTAAAGAGATTCCGAAAGTTTCAGGAAACAATATTTTCTCTCTTTTTGTCCTGATCCATTTATATAAAAACCTGCCTGAAAATGAGCTGATCAGATTTTGGCCACTTTATGATGTCATAACGATATTTTGGCTCGTGTAACCATTAGCCAATAAACAACCAAGGTAACCCCCCCCCCCCCCCCCTTATCACCTCAATCCCCTCCTAGAGCACCATTGTGTTCTTTTTAACCAGATATCTCTCAGAGGGGCGTGGGGAGGGGCTCCTTATTTTCATCTAAAGTAACAGACAGAGAATCAGCACTTTTGAAACAGGGCTGAAACAGAGGGGATTATGGGATGCTGCAATGATCTGTTTGGTATTTGGAGCCAATATTCAATTTTCTGAGACAGTCCTGTATATCTGAGACCTATAATATATTGATGTAAAACAGTATAATAGGGGACCTTTAAAATGTATTTCAGCTCAGACTTTCTGTTTATACTAACAAATAACTAAAAGCATGCATTTAAAGAGCTTCCAGGTTCATTGTAGCTCTTCCAGGTCTTGTACATCAGGTAAGTATTCGAGGAGTATTCTTCTCCGTTGGTGTAGTGCACTTAAGTGGTTTGTGTGGTTGTTCCATGGTCCTACATAGAAATTATATAAACTCCTCTGTAGAAAGGACAGGGTGATATAAGATCCCTCACACGAGTTACTTAAAAAACTGTCTGAATCTCTATCATGGTTTGAGAAGCCTTGTTTTATAGTGAAAGGAATAAGTATGTAAGAAAGAATAGACAAACCTGATGTTGCTATTATTATTTATATTATTATTCTTTAATTATGCATGGGGACCCTATGATGTTTATAACCTTATTAAAGTTGTTTCGAGTTAAGTTCAGATGTCATTTTAAGAGTTTTAAGCATATTTCAAGGGTAGTAATGATAATTTAAATATCATAAGGGATATAAAATGTTTAGATTGTCCCATGCCAGTTTAATTTTTCTTTACTGCCCTGCTGTGAACTATATAAGATCTTGCCACTGGTGTCTGTTCCACTACGAGAGAAGTAATTTTAGTCTTTTTTCCTCAGGTGTCTGTGGACTCGAGCTCCTCCATCCACTCTGGAGTGATGCTGGTTCGTCCTTCCCGCCTCTCCTCCTGTGGATCCCCCATGCTGCCCGGAGTGTCAGAGTACGAGCTGCCCCAGGATCCTCGCTGGGAGCTTCTACGGGATAGGTATGCACACTACCTTGAAGTTTGTTTTTCCTTCAGAAAGTAAACTTATCCAGTTAATATGCTTGAAAAGGAACCAGCAGCTCAAATGAAGTTAGAGTTTCTCTAGATTTGAATCAAAAAACTAATGTTAAGGTACCTTTTTGTAGTCTTGAATGAAACGTCTTAAAGATTCAAACTTAACACACACATTCTACAGATTCATAGTTATACTCCATTGACTATCTCTGTGTCTTTCTCCCCCCTCCCCCCTCAGACTTGTTCTTGGGAAGCCTCTAGGTGAAGGCTGCTTCGGTCAGGTGGTGATGGGAGAGGCGCTCGGTCTGGACAAAGAAAAGCCAAACCGTCAGACCAAGGTTGCGGTCAAAATGTTGAAATGTAAGTTTGGTGTTCTTCTTTAAAGTTTTCGATCACGTGGGTTTACAGAAGGCTGGATGTACAGTTACTTTTAAAAAAAACAGATCTGCAGAAACAATAAGTTTAGAAAGATATTCGGCTCCAGGGACAATAAAACACTGAAACTTGATGAAGAGATACTGGGAGACATCTGCACTGGATTGGAGCCACTGCGTAAATGAGCAGAGGAGAGTAGACATTTACGAGAGCCCTTGACATCCCATATAAAACAGTGTTCATTAAACTGCAGAGGAGTGACGATGTAGGGAAAGTAGCATTTATTGTCTCCTACTCTAAGTGCCTTTCCTCAGGGAGCATTCTCTAAAACAGTCAGCCAAACTCTGCAAGATCTGCATTGTAATTGTATTTTCTTTGCACAGTGATTATTATGAGGCCTTTTCAGCAACGGCACGTTGACTAATTGCCCTAATGTGATTCATTTCTCTTCCCCTCCAGCTGACGCCACAGAGAAAGACCTGTCGGACCTGATTTCAGAGATGGAGATGATGAAGATCATTGGGAAACACAAGAACATCATTAATCTGCTGGGAGCCTGCACTCAGGATGGTAGGGCCAGACAGTCAGGGGTCTGCCACTGACCTGACACACACACACACACACACACACACACACACACACACACACACACACACACACACACACACACACACACACACACACACACACACACACACACACACACACACACACACACACACACACACACACACACACACACACACACCCCGTAGACTATCACGACCCTTACTCTGAGAGAGGTGTAGACCTGCATGAGTAAACTCTCCTGACACCAGCTTCCGAGCTCGCAGTTTGAATCGACCAACGCTGCTGCCAATTCCCTCTAAGCATACCTGACAAAGAACTAAAGGAAACGCACTTTTAATGATCCCGCAGTGCACACCGCTCTGGTGCTTTCAAACTGAAACACCAAGCTCTTTGTTCATTCTACTTTATTTAGAAACTGTTACCAACCAATTTTTTTTAACTTAATATCTATTTTAAAACTGCAGGTATGTTCATGTACTTGCCTATAGTTCTAGTACCTTTTTTTAAAAATTATTTAAGCATTTGATGTGCACATTTTTTCTGTAAATAATCCTTCATCCATCAGAACAATTATTTAGTTGCCTTTATGATTATTTTGGGTGCTGCAATAACCTCTACTTTCACAATAAACACAATTATATTTTACTCAATGTTTCTAGTATCCGCCCTCATATCTGAGACACTAAAACATGTCTTATGTTGTCTATTGACAAACCAACATAATTATAACTTGGCCTCTATTTATAATAATAAATACATTCCTTCCAATTGTTTGCAGGTCCTCTGTATGTGATAGTAGAGTATGCGTCCAAGGGCAACCTGCGGGAGTACTTGCGAGCTCGGCGCCCGCCAGGCATGGAGTACTGCTACAACCCAGACCAGGTCCCTGTGGAGAACATGGCCATCAAAGACCTGGTGTCCTGTGCCTACCAAGTGGCCCGAGGCATGGAGTATCTGTCCTCTAAAAAGGTAACTACAAAGTTCAACCAACCATTCTCAACTGTTCTATGTTAGATTTGCAGTTGAGTAAGGAAAACCTGCATTAGGCAAGGCAATTTATTTGTATAGCACAATTCATACAGTGATGCAATTCAAAGTGCTTTACAGGTTCAAACAGATAAAAACATAATACATTGTAATATGGTCATAGCAAGAAGAAATACAAAAACACATAAAACAATTAAAAGCAGATTTTTAACAGGTGGAGCAGTTTTGATTTTAAAGCTGTTTGTCAGCAGCTTTCAAATCAAAACTGCTCCACCTGTAAAAAATCTGCTCAAAGATTGTTGGTCAACCCTGTCAGAGACTCTATGACTCAGCCTATCATAACAACCTAGTGAGGCTTTCCAACAACATAATCTCTGACCCAAACCATGTTCTGAACAGTGAATATGAACTGATACCATCTAATCGGAGATACAGGGTCCCACGATTCAATAAAGTCAGACTGAAGCATCCTTTGTGCATCAGTCAATCCTCACAGTAAATACAGAGCTAAATCCCAGATCAAGTGCACGCTGAAGGCTCTTGAGCATGTTTTCTCTCACTGATTGTGCTGTTATGTTAAATGTTTGTTGTTTGTGTTTCATGTATTGTGTCTGGATACTTGTCTGTTGATGTTGGACATGGAGCTGCTGTGACGCAAGTCAAATTCAGAAAGAAAGAAAGAAAACCCTGTTTAACAGTTCAGATTTTTTTTACTATAATAAACATTCTATGCAGATTATCAAGCTCTGTATTTGACTGATGTATTGCTTCAGTTTTAGTAATATCTATTGTTATTTGTGCAGTGTATCCACAGAGATCTTGCAGCTCGCAATGTTTTGGTAACAGAGGATAGCGTGATGAAAATAGCTGACTTCGGCCTGGCAAGAGATATCCACCACATTGATTACTATAAGAAGACCACCAATGTGAGTATTCCTATTATTAGCTTAACACATGAAAAGAAATTCTGTACACAGCGATAACAAGCATATCTTTCCACAGGGTCGTTTACCAGTCAAGTGGATGGCTCCCGAGGCTCTGTTTGACAGAATATACACAAACCAGAGTGATGTGTGAGTATCACAAATCTATACTTTTCCAATCCAGCCATTATAAGTGTGAGGACAAGATTTAGTCGGGCAGAAAATGTAAACGCTCCTGTCTGTTTCTGTCTGCAGCTGGTCATTTGGGGTGCTGCTTTGGGAGATCTTCACGCTGGGGGGTTCTCCATACCCCGGGGTCCCAGTGGAGGAGCTGTTCAAGCTGCTGAAGGATGGCCACCGTATGGACCAGCCCTCAACATGCACTCATGAAATGTAAGTAGACACTACAAACCTAAATGGAATTGTTCCTCAAACTCTTTCAAAAATGTTTGTAAGGTTGACTTTAGATATCCTTTATTCAACCAGGTAAAAGCCTCTGTCGAACCTAAGGTCTCTACCAGATAAAAAAAAATAGTATTGTTCAGGTCCCACTTTAATTTTCTGCCATGACCAGGTCTTGTCTGTGTTTTAACCAGACTGCCTCTCAACCGGATTTTATATTTATCAATATTGTAGTTATTTCTCATATGTGTGCTTTGATTGAAAGAAAGAAAAGGTAACCAGTCAATGCCAAGAGATTGAGTCAAGTACAGTATATGCCTTTTTTTGTTGTCACTTGAAAAACAATAATGTAAGGGTCACTGCTCTGTCTCATGCTCAGTTGGCATCAACATTTGTATTAGTTGTTTATAGAAAAGATCCAGGAGCTTGGCAACGTTATAATGATCCTGTCTTTGTCTGTGTGACAACCACTCGCAGGTTGAGTGAGCACCAAATGGAGCGTCTTGATTTTAAAACAGATTTATAAACACTACTGGCAAGAAGATTGGTATTTATATTTTACATCGCGCGCTGTCACAAACAAGATTGTCTCCTCCATAGGTAGATGCATGCATCTTTCCCAGCAATGAGCAGGTATACAGTTGCAAGAAAAAGTATGTGAACCCTTTGGAATTACCTGGATTTCTGCATAAGTTGGTCATAAAATGTGTTCTGATCTGCATGTTTGAAGTTTGCAAAAGAGCACCTGGATGTTCCACAGCACTACTGGCAAAATATTCTGTGGACAGGTGAAACCAAAGTTGAGTTGTTTGGAAGGAACACACAACGCTATGTGTGGAGAAAAAAAGGCACAGCACACCAACATCAAAACCTCATCCCAACTGTGAAGTATGGTGGAGGGAGCATCATGGTTTGGGGCTGCTTTACTGCCTCAGGGCCTGGACAGATTGCCATCATCGACGGAAAAATGAATTCTCAAGTTTATCAAGACATTTTGCTGGAGAACTTAAGGCCATCTGTCCACCAATTGAAGCTCAACAGAAGATGGGTGATGCAACAGGACAACGACCCAAAGCACAGAAGTAAATCAACAACAGAATGGCTTCAACAGAAGAAAATACGCCTTCTGGAGTGGCCCAGTCAGAGTCCTGACCTCAACCTCAAGAGAGCGATTCACACCAGACATCCCAAGAATATTGCTGAACTGAAACAGTTTTGTAAAGAGGAATGGTCCAAAATTCCTCCTGACCGTTGTGCAGGTCTGATATGCAACTATAGGAAACGTTTGGTTGAGGTTATTGCTGCCAAAGGAGGGTCAACCAGTTATTAAATCCAAGGGTTCACATACTTTTTCCACCCTGCACTGTGAATG